TAGACGGCAATTCTGGTTATTGACATAAGGGTAAATGAAACACAAGGATGACAACGAAAGAGCGATAATTCCACTTCCGAAACGCGGCAATTGAGATACCATTGCAAAGGCACTACGTCGTTCTTCCTGGATCTCCAAGAAGACGGATCATTTTGTATTAAAAAAAAAAATAGGAAGGAGTAGAAGAGACACCCATCCGGTGGAGAGGTAGAGAGTGTGATAAAAAAAAAAAAACAGAAGAAAGTGAAGAGAGAAGAATGGAAACGAAGGACTCACCATCCGAGCTTCTTCCACTTCCGGTCCTCGGCGACGTCGAGGAAGGCCGGTGCCGGGTAGCAGACCGCGGAAATCGGCTGCGAGGAGCATGGTAGAGCCAGGGCGAACTGGGGTGGCCGGTGTGCGCGGGAGGGTGAGCTGCTGCTGTGTCTAGACAGCGTTTCCGGTGAAACGATTACCGCGGACGGTGAAGCCGGTGACGGCAGGGCAGCCGGCAATCCTGGCCAGCTGTACAGATCGTTTCCTCATTATTTCTATCCTGTCCTTGGCCGGATCGATTCACTTTCGTATCGACGACTCAATTACAACGGATAATTACCGCGCTACGGCTGTGCACCGCCGCGGTATACGCTACCGCGGGGGTGTACACCGTCTGCGACACGAAATTGATCCTATCTGTTTCCTCTGTGATTTAAACATCTTTTTTCTTTCTCTCCCTGTCTCTGTGGCTCTTTATAATTGAACGGTACTTTAACTCGCAGTAATTGCATACTTCACCGTTAAATTATCGTATCAGGAGGCTTGTACGATTCTTTTCAGCCCGTCAACGGAGTTCTACTAATCAGACTGTGCGCAGAGAGATATCGTTGGTACAGAGTGTTTCGGTTTTTCTTGGAAGCCTGGGAGTTTTGCTTTTTGACACGTTGACTGTCACGTCGGATTTGCGTGTTTTGCTCAGGGGGCAAGAAGATTTTCGTTGTTCTAAGCACAGTGTTATATTGTGCATTATTTATTTTTTTTTTAACACGTTAAGCGCGGCGTCAGTCCGTGGTGACTGACAGTGAACTTTCCGTTTAGGCGGCGTCGGTCCGTGGGGACTGACAGTGAACTTTTCGTTTGAGTGGCGTAGGCCCGTGGGACTGGCAGTATCGTGTTTAAAAAATAAATCTTATGCACGTCTCCTTCTTTTTTTTTTGCAATTTATGAACACTTCTTCTATCAACCCGGATTGGTATTTCTTCGTCCGAATGTCGTGTGAGCGCATTTGTCATCTTCTGTTCATACTCTATAACCGAACAGCTCGCAAAATGATCGCAGCTGTGTGCCGCCTGAACGGGAAGCAGAGCGAAATCGGCTCCGCGCTCAACGTGTTAATTGAAAATAACGTCTAGTTAGCTACGATGTTCGAAATTTTCATTCAACGATATTCATTTTATTTTAATTATTCTAAATATTCGGAGCCACTGATACCAGAGTTGGGCAGTAATTAATTCTTTTGTAATGGATTTCTGTAATCGATTATTTAATGCAATCGTAATAACTGTAACCATTAATCAGTCAATCATCGTTGAAATAAATCAGTGATCGTGATTACCTTCTGTAATTTGTAATCATTGATCGGTCATTTTTGAATCATTCAATGATTAATTATATTTCATACGGAATGTCTGAAATGCGAGTTGTATTAAAAGCAAATTACACTAAAAATAAATAAGTAACTTGTTCTAAGGATTGTCTATGTAAAACTATGTAAAAACTAAATATATTTCTAAAATATATACAGTGACTCCCACTAATATTCGGACACTCTTTAGTACAGTATAACTTTTTCAAAATTGGACCTAACGACTTGAGTTTCGTTTGTGGGAATCGCGAAAGAAATTGTAAAGGTTCACAATTTTTCTATCTGAGCTTGTGATGAAAATTTGAAACTTACGCCAATGATACATATTGTGCCGGAAATTTCATCGAAATCTGTAAGAAAAGGTGTAGGAATCTTCAGATTTATTACAGTTGTAAGCCGAAAGCCTGTGCAATTTTCACAATCTTTAACCCTTTCTAGATCATTCTCAGCATACGTACAATTCACATAAATCTATGAAAAGTATTTTTTAAATTTTCACAAGCTCAGACAAGAAATGTTGCAAAATGTGATTTCCCAAATTGCAATTTTTACTACACGTCACCTAGTACCCTAATCAGAGTTGGGCGGTAATTAATTCCTTTGTAATCGCTTTCTGTAATCATTAAGTTAATAATATTACAATGTTTGATTATCTTTCTAATAAAAATAAAAAAATGAAGAAGATGATATTTTTTAATTATTCTTCCTGTTGAGGTAAAACATGTTTGATTACATTTATGTATACTTCTATTTTGTAGACTGATGAATTAAGCTAGAATTTACAACCTGATTAAATAATCTCTAATAAATACGCATCAATGTATCAATAAATATATTGTTCAAATTATCTATATTTAACTGATAATTTGAAAACCCGACAATTTTGGCAATTATTTGCATTCAAACGCAAAGGTGTCGAAAGACACCTTTCGGTCGAAATAGGTATACACAAAATCGTGGTAGAAATAGTGTTAATCAGTCAATCATCTTTGAGAGAAAATCAGTAATAGTGATTACCTTCTGTAATTTGTAATCATTAATCGGTCATTTTTAAATCATTCACTGATTAATTATATTTCATACGGAATGTCTGAAATTTGTAAGTAACTTGTTCTAAGGATTGTCCATGTAAAACTATGTAAAAACTAAATATATTTCTAAAAACATGTTCACAGTGTTGTTATTACAGCCAAAGTACACGATTAATAATTAATAAAGCAATCACGAACATCGATTCCAACAACTTCTAATTCCTTTCTTATTCGTTAATCAACGATTACTGATTATTCAGTAATCACGATTAATAACTGGATTTTATATTAATCGTAATTTTCAATCATTAATCGGATCACGTTTTGCCCAACTCCGACTGATACCCACCGGTGGCCCCATCGAAGGAACAATTTCCGGCCACAGGTGACCAACGCAGCAATCAACGTATCAAAAAGAAAAAAATATTCTCCCGAAAAGCTGACGAAAAGAAACGCAAAAGTGATCACGTCTGCGCGAATTAGACTGGATCAGTTCTCTATCCCATTCCGCCACCTATTCCACGTTCAATTTTCATCGGTATCCACGGGAAGGAAGGTGCGCCCTGGCCCCTCGCAATTTATCCCGAAAAGCGAACGTTCGAAAGCTTATCGGTTTCCAGCGGGCTCGCGTTATACCTCGCCCCCGTGTCGTAATTCGTTTAAGCGAGTTTCCCGAACGCTGGCTGGCTGGCTG